AACCGTCAATTAGGCACTTTCTTATTCAAGCGAGTTTCTTTATCTGATCTTAATTTATTGCTTCTAAACGATGCTTTGACATTTTCTCCGACATATTTTTTGCAAAACATCAATATAACAATACTGATAGGTAACTGATGTGCCTATCTACGCTTGTGACAAGATTGGCCTTGTACAAAAACAAGTTACTACAAATCACTTTGTGATTTGAAGTAACTTGTCAAGATATCGCATTTTTTTGAACAGATTAATTATGAGCGCAATGTCGTTGATTGTAAAACATGAATTGTATATTTAATGTAGCTTTTTTATCATCATGTCTTAACTTACATTTTGCTCACGTAACTTTCTGTTGAACACTTGTTATTAGCAAAAACGAAAACGCATTCAAGAAAACTATTTATTCCCAAAAAATAAATGAATACTAAAAAACTTATTACGTAAATGAGAGTTGAAATCAAACGGAAATCTTCACGCATAGGCTCATGCTAGTACTTCTCCCAAGAACAAGAATTTCAAAACGATAATTTACTTTTGAAACACTCATTTTCAAACACATCAAAATATAAAAAAATAAGTATTTTTTTGGATAGCATCAATTTCTCTCATAAATATAAAAGTAAAAATTTTACTCTTATCATTTAATAATTCCGATCTCGCACTCCGTTGATTGACGCTTCTATACGTATCAGATTTCTTATTCCAACCATTTCATTTTAAACTGTAGAACACAGGCGTATGGTCCGTTTTGGAACAGCTGCTTTATAAAAATAATGAATCATTCGCCCCACTGCACAGACGACGCGTGGAATATGGTCAATCAGTTCAAGTGCACTTCGTCGGGTCACGGATACGATTGAACGCCATATGTGCCTGATATTGTGAGATTAGTTGCAATGTTAGACATATCTCACAAAAGCGAGATTTACTGATTCTTAGATTTAACAAGACATCGAAGGAGTAGTATTCTGAGAAGAATTTAACCATACCAACAGAATTACTTACCACAAAAGCTGTACCAGACCGACGGACAACGTCCTGTACTGTTGTTCACGAACGTGAAAATCAAAGGGAAAAAAATATAAAGAAAGAAAGGTGTCACTTCTCTTTATAAAACTACTAGCCCAAGGTATAGTCCATTATACTCTCAACAAAAACTTGTATTCCCATCACGTAGCACGTGCTTCACTTCACATACACGGACCAGAGTCCGTCAAACGAAACAATGCCACAAAACTGCAACAGATGTTCCAAAGAAAGCTAAAAAAATACAATACTACCCAAACGGAGTCTTTATGCATCTTAGATCGTAGAAGATTTATGAATACGCTCTAAACTAAACAGCTTTGTAAAGAAATGCTGATGAGAAAGTTATCTTTAACTTTAGTAGTAGTCGTATTTATGCTATTGGCCTTCTTCGTGGAATGGCTGTTTCATCTATATAACGCTATCATTTGCGAGGATTGGTTTCCTGTCGAGTTAATCTAAAAAGAAAAATTATAATAGATGCAGTATTTTTTTGTATTCAGTCATTATAATTAAAGGAAATGTTGGTTAGACCTTGAGAACAAGCTTAAATATTAAAAGTCATACACGAGTACCAAACTTCCTGGTAAAGTTCCCCCACGGTTAAGCCCGATAAACATATTATCGTAAGCTAATATCCACTTGGAATGCCAAATGTATGACAAAATTACGATTTAATAGAGACGAGAGAGTTTTAAGTTTTAAAGCTACTTTGACCGATAAAAAACTTTATATTAAATATATTAGCATCGTAACGATGCCCACCGATGGCCTACCGTTCCAAAGATAAGAACAAGATATTGAAACAAACGCACGATTATTTTTATAGAGCATATTGGTACAGCAAACAGCACACCAGGTTGTCCGAAAAAATCAATTCTCTACATTTGAATGTAACCCTTAAAGCGTTGGAAGTTAAGTTGTAAATTGACTACGGCATTTTGACATTTTATAGTAACCTGACGGTCTATTATACTAGCAAGATAGTCGTTTAAAAAGGGCCGATATTTCGACTAAAAGAGTAGTCTACTGCTCCTATAGATATTTTGGCTGCATAGTTGACTGATGTAAGAACATATTATAGGTACACTACACCTACATAGTATTGTAGGTAAACTAAAATTAGGTCATACATTTAAAAAAAACAAGCAATACTTGTATGAAAACTCGTTTTAGTAATTGAAGTTTGGTGTAGTATGCAGAAAAGAGATTTTTATTTTTTTATTATATCTGATCAATATCACAAGCACGATACTATACTGAAAAATATTCTTGATAAAAAATGAAAAAAGCAACAAGTGCTTGAAATATTCTTCTGTCCGGTTAGGTCCTTGGTAGCTCAGTGGTCGCCCAGATTGCGAAAGGTCATGGATTCGCGTCCCATCTCAGAGTGCCAGATACAAAGTGGATTTTTTAAGCATTTTTCATTATAAGTTTATTGATTTTAGTTATAATGTGTATGTAAAATTGAAAATAAAATAAACACAAACAGAGAAAAAGCACTAAAAATGTCGCGTAATTTCTTTTTGGTTCAAATAATGGCATGTCTAAGCGTTATTAATAAAAATATGTATTACTTCAACCTTCTATGATTTTGTAACTTCAAAAGTTCGCCGCTAAAATATATATATTCATATATTTTATTTTTTGCTCACTAAATAATTTGACATTACAAAATCGTTATACGTGGAATGATAAAAATTGTTAATCTTGAATACAGTTCATCGAAAGCTTTCTTTATCTATAACTTCCTTAAAGCGTAAGTAGAGCAACTGTCGCACCAGTTTTACTTCACAAAGTGGGTTCAACCACTTTTTTTACGTTCCCAACGTATTCCCGCGCCCCTTGCATCCCGCCGGTTCCTTGTTCTTACCGAACAGACTCGGCATGTGCGCCCTGTTGATAGCTCACACACCTCGCTTCACCAGTTATTTCCAAGTAACACAGTTATTGGTCCGTTTAATATTTTTGTTATTTTAAATACTGTGCACAAATTGTAGGTTTTAATATTTGATAGTTGTGGAAATTATTACAATTTGTGTGGAAGACTGCAAAATATTTGCACGTGCAGTGTTTGAAATGAACGATAACGTTAAGTTTACGATATGGATACGATAAGCGTGATGTTGAAAACTGGTTATAAAATTGTAAAGGATTTCTCGGAACAACACAAATCAGTAAGTTATTAATAATTTTAATGTTATATACTAATAATGTCCTAGTTTTACTTAAATAAACGAGTTGATACATATGAAGAAATTTATCAGTTAACCTTTCTTTAAATTACGAATAAACGGCTACTGACACGTGCTCCTATTATAGTTTATGCATAGATTGAATACCCCATCTGAACATCAAGAAACTTATATCTTCCTGTTTTTCCAGTTTGACACAATTTACAAAAAAAACCTTTTTCGCGGTTTTTTTTTCTTTTTATTAAATAAGTAAATCTACGAGTAACTAACATTAATAAATATTTGTAGTATTTTAGAGGATCATGTCATAAAAAAACTTAATGTAAATAGACTTAATATTTTTACTATTCGGACTTATATAAAAACTCAGATTTATCTATACTAATATTATAAAAAGAAAAGATTTGATTGTTTGTTTGCATTTAATATAACTACTGGACCGATTTTAAAAATTCGTTCATCTACGGGTAGCTATATAGGTAGATCATACGCGGGTGACATAGATTATACGCGGGCAAAGTCGCGGGAAAACAGCTAGTACCTAAATCTGTACTGGTTTAAAATGATATTTTCCAACATTGCCTAACGATTAAATCCTATTATTTAGTTTGCACTTCTTAATTTTTATAAGGAAAATAAAAAAAAAATACAGTTTTCAAGGAATTTTTGTACCTTGATTTTTTACCATAGTGTTAGTCATAGAGAAACTTGAATGGTCATTGTGTCATTCCCTTGATATACTCTGGTTGTATACCTTATGTCGTTGAAATAAAATATCAAAAAATAATATGCCAAGTTGCTGATCAGTTATTAAATTCTTAAATTAAATTCAAATTAATTTACAGACACATTTAAATTTTATTATATTATTTTCATTTAGCACTTAACAATTGTTAAAATATGTCTAGTTACGTGCTGTGTATTTATTAAAACATGAAATTAATGCGCTTCACCCTCTAAGCTAGTTATTCAAAGGCATAACCAGCCAAGAATTTAACGGAAACTGACTTCGTATAATTTTTAATATACATATTTATCGTACTTATGTGATGTTAGTAATTATCTAACTCTTTATTATGTTTAATCAATTATGCATTCACAATGCTATACTGAGAAATATTCTCAATGAAAATGCTTAAAAAATCCTTGTTGTCTCCGGCACTCTGATAAAAATACGCTCTGTAATAGCGAAAAGTAAAAAGTTCTTGTAAAATTCATCACACATGTTAGGTCCTGGGTAGCTCAGTGGTTAGAGCAGTCGCTCGGATTGCGAAAGGGTTCGAGTCCCATCTCAGTGCCAGGGACAAAGTTTTCGTTAAGTATACTTAACTCTTAACAAATTATAATCGTGCTCATTGCTGCATTCATTAAGTATAATATTAACACTATTACTTGGGATAGGTAAATGAAATTATAAAGCTCATTTTATATATTACAAAAAATTCAAATGTGTTTTTACTTGAATAATAAACTTCCTGTGCAAAAAAACCTTAGTGAAACTTTATTTCTTATCTACTCGCCTATACTTAGGTCTCATTTACTACTCTTTTCATGATGATATACTACTTAGTGAATCTTAGATATCTCTTTGAAATCACATATTTTACATTTATTATTGATCTCTTACTATAATCTGAATTACGTATTAATATTTATACAATTCCTCGAAAGCATCAACTCATACTACAGCGCATACTCATACTATAGATTATTGGCAACGTTATTAAACTACGAACATTGTTTTGGTTCAGAATAACATCCCGTGTTTGTTTTGTTTAGATGGAGACATCTGGCGGGTCGGAAAGTTCTGGTGGTGAGGACGCGGAGGCACGGCGGGCGCGACGCGGGCACGTGCTCGCCGAGTTACTGCAGACCGAGCGCGTATACGTTCAAGAACTCGGCTCAATCCTTACCGTGAGTCACTTTATCTACGTCTTTTATTATACTGCTGAAGCCAAATTTTTACAAGACCTTTTAAATCCTTTGGAAAATCGCGAGAATATTCGAGAAAATATTGACGTCTAATCCAATGCTTAAAAGCAAATGAACAAAATGAATTAGATATCTCTCATCAGACGCTCCATTACGCGCTCTAAAAATTAAATGTGCCATTGAATTGTAAGTGGAGCATAAGTGTTCACTCGGGTTCCGTCCCAACAGACAGTCACGAACAGATATACTTAATGCATACAGGTGTGTATGTAGCGCATACAGTGCAAGCCACGCGATCAGGCTCCGGAGCGGAACGCGATGCCCCATACACTCCCGCCAACTGCACTTTGCGGCCGTCTTTCGCTTCGCGTGTTACACTTCGTCGCTCGTTGCACCATGAAATATGGAAAATATGACCTCCATAAATCTTCCGCGAATTTGAGCGTCGGCACCTCTTACTCGTGGTATTATAAAAAAAACGATAACCCCACCACGCGGAAGAAGAAGTTAACGAGATCCGCGTCCGATTCAACACTTTTTAGTGATTACGCTAATCAAATGCCCCTGTTCGAGAAGGAAAAGTGTATCAACAATAAAAAATGCAAGAAATCTGTGAGTGACGTTGGAAAAACTAAACGTGTTAAGTGCGATCTGCAGAATTACAAGCCCGTTTACGTGGAACCGTTCGTTGGCAATTTCTTTTACGGAAAACCGTTGACTGGATACGAATACTCGCAAAAAACCGAGGAAAAAATAATTTATTTACCCGACTCGGATATTGTTACAGCTTCAGAGGATAATACCTGTGAGAGCACTTTAACCACAGCCGCTACAGTTGTAGATGTGCCTGAGTATGTCAAAAATCCTTTGTATGGTTGCCTCGAGGCTGACGTTCAAATTCCAACCTCTGAATATACTACGACATCATGCGGTTCGAAAGATACGCAGTTAAAGTCCTCAAGTTGTACAGAATTAAGGCAAACAATGTGTTCTAGTAAGGAATCAGAGGACGTGCTATTAAAAATACTCAATGATTACAAGAGAATAATGAAGGAGTGGAATCATACCATAAAGGATCATTACTCATCTGCATCTCATTGTAGTAAAAGGGCATCGACTTTGTGCCGAAGAAGCAATACTTCTAGTTATGTTAGAAGTTTACATTCAACTTTATCGTATAGAAAACAGAGTAGATGTCTTAAATCTATTGGCAGTAATACTTACGCTTCGGGGGCTTTCAAAAGATACCAATGCAGTAGTCGAGATAGTAAAAGCCAGACTCTTGACAGAAATCAAACGTTCAGCAATTGGACTTCGACATTGCAGAAATTAAAAATTATGAAATTTTGGAAAATTGGTCACAGTTTGTCGCCGTCGGAGTGTGAATGTTTGGAAGCTGTATATCAAGACTATGATAGACGGTTACAGGATTGGTGTGATGCAATAAGCAACTGCACATCATTATTGTCTTCGGTATATTAGTATATATATATATATATATATATACAACGTGTCCCAAAATTCAACGATAAGCGGGCGCCAAGAGGTAGACCTGCTCATGTGTACTTATGGAAAAATAAGAAAAAAATTATATCTTATTAATCTTTTTTATTATAAAATAATATTCGAAAATTTTCGAAAGAGTTGTAGCGAATAGTAGTGCTACTTAGGTATCCGATACCAAAAAAAGATTGAACATAATTGAGAAGTTGTGGTCGTGGTAATTGAAAATATCATAAAAGGTGTAAATTTTCGAAGATTTTGGAATTTAATCTTATAATAAAAAAGATAAGATATAATTTTTTTCTTATTTTTCCATAAGTACACATGAGCAAGGGTACCTCTTGGCGCCCGCTTATCGTTGAATTTTGGGACACGTTGTATATATTTTTAAATCAGACTTTTATAAGATTCTTAATATAATAACACTCATTTTCACTAACCTAGAACAAGGCATAGCTTAACTAGAAAACGCCTAATATTACGAATTGCCTAAGCAGATTAGTTTAATTTCAAATAAATATATTTTTCCTTTACCCCTTGACATATTTATGATCTATCATATACGCAAATGCCTAGCGCAAGGCACCACATAACGGATATCATAACTTTAGACATTGCTTGATTTTATTAGGTGGTTACTAGGGAGTAAATGGTGGAATGCATTTTTACCTTAGGCGATTCCTAAATATTTGGGCGAATTCTAAGTTTAATGAAAACGAGGATAAGTGTTATTATTGCACCAATGACTGACAAAATTTCATGATTATTTTTGTTTTACGCTGATTATTAGTATTTTAGTACTAATAGAATACAAACTATGAAATATTAAATATTTGATAGAAGAACGTTAGCTAATAATATTAAAATATTATTGCAACAAATTCTATGATCACATAATGCGGTTTATAGAACTGTTGTCGAGATTTAAGAAGTCCTCGATACAGATGTATCCAGTCCATAATTTTATTTGTTAATTCATTGACATTTTAAAATCTCCAGTATCTTTAATTACTTTCTATGATATCTTATGTTCATCTGAATCAATACTGCTTCAGATGATTTTGAGATTGTGTCTCAAGTAGATATGATCTAAATGTAAATATGATCTAAATATATTTATAAACTTTATTTGTTAATAGGGTTACAAAGAAGAAATCGAGAAACCTGAAAACCAACATCTTCTGCCCTCGGCGCTGGTGGGGCAGGCGGATGTGCTCTTCGGTAACCTGCACGAGCTTTTCACATTCCACCAGGACGTCTTTCTCAAAGATCTGGAACGATCTATATCTGCCACGGAACTCGTTGCCTTATGCTTTGTAGAAAAGGTAAATATAATTATGTAACACTATTATCTTTTATACTGGCTAGTACTTTTCGCCAACAGTGGCGATTGTCCTTCCGACTGAGATACTTAAGACTATCAAATTTCTCAAGTACTTGTATAAACTTATATATTTCTATTGATGATTAGATGTTAATGTTTCTACATGTTTTATTTTCGAAAACGAATAAAAAAAACTAACATTTTAATTGTAGGTATATTTTATCGTAAATATATTTTCCCTAAACCTTTTCAACGCGTTCTATCTCTACCATAATAATAAACATCATAATTTTGACATGTTTAATACTGGGAATCGTTATTTTATAATCAACAGAGAGAGACATTCTTCCGACTGTACAGCTACTATTGCCAGAACATTCCACGCTCGGAGCGGTTGCGGGAAACACTTGTGGACACACACCTGTTCTTGCAGGCGTGTCAACTTCGACTTGGCCATAAACTGCCTCTCGCCGCTTACCTGTTGAAGCCAGTACAGCGGATTACCAAATACCAGCTTCTCCTTAAAGTAAGGACTACTACATATTTTATAGAGCAACTAATTCTAGTTTTGAGCAATGAAATAGGCACTCAACGAAACCCTTTTATTTTATGAAGGTCAGTTGTACAAACGTCTATTAAAACTGTCATCTGTTTTAAGCAACATTACCCATACAAATTTACATTCATTAGATCTTAAAGGCGTCATTAAACTTTAACGGACGTTTGTGCAACTAACCTGAAGCCTGTTAATAATTGCTACATAAATTATCTAGAATACTCAAAGGACTCAATGCTACCTAAATGTGATTTATTTATTTAGGTATTTAAGTGACCAGAAGGTCACTTTAATTGACGCTCTTATAGAAACTTATAGTAAACTCAACATTCATTAACGTATTAGACTAGTTCTAGTTTGGCCATACGTTACCTATTGCCTTCCTGACACTAGAAAACTGCGATATTACTTTCTGTTTCATGCAAAATGTCGAAATTACGTCATTAATTTTAAATACATATGTATATCGTTTTTAAGAACAAGAAAACGATTGTTGTTTTTTATTGTTTATATATGGTTTTATTACGAGAGTTCTTACGCACAATAAAAATGCAATGGTCGGAGGAAAAAAGTGGGGGCTATAATCGCATATATCGTTATCTCTTTTTAATTACGGCGATAGCATATCATTTTAGAGCTTATGGTAAAGATCCAGGCAAGTAAGGCCGACAGCATGCAAATGTCAAAGCATTAAATACTTATACTATATTAACAACTCTCTGAGTGAAGGCCGAATACCTACGCAATTATCGATTTGTGCCCGGTTTGAAATCTTATTGACAATCTGTTTCTAGCACAGAATTTTTCTTAAAGTTAAAAGACGTTTCTATGTCTTTGGAAACTTTAACGCAATATAAAATGCAGTCCCGCAGTACCTCATAATATATTAGTCTGAATACAATAGTCTGAAAAATTACTGAACTGATTTTCATGCAGTTATTATTTTACTATGTTAAAGTTGCCGGAATAAAGGCTTATGGACTGAATGCTCTAATATGCTCATATGGTCAATTAGCTATGGACTGAATGCTGCTCTACGTAAGATTAATTGTATACAAAATGAATTTTACTTGTTAAGTAAAAAATATGATGAAATATAAGCATAAACAGCATCATAATTATTACTATTGTTATGATTGTTTATCAGTATTACACGTTTGAGAAAACCAAAATTAAAATTCTCTCCAATCAAATCTGTTGTCAATTTACATTGCCAATTTTCATAAAATTGTTGAGAAATTAGTTTTCATTTTTACTTTTATGATTTTTAAGGACTTACTGCGATACAGCGAGTGTGGTTCTATGACAACGGGCCTTCAGCAAGCGTTGGACTGTATGCTGGTGGTACTGAAATGTGTCAATGATTCTATGCATCAGATTGCCATCACTGGAGTACCTGTAAGTAATTATTAAGATATATTATTGTATAATTATATACTCTTAGACTTATTCTTAAAAATTAATATACTATATAACATATTATTATTCGCTGTGATCGTAAGAATACTCGATAAGTTTAAAAAAATTGAATTGCACAGGAACCTTAATTAGGGGATTAAAAAGATATTACCTATAATTTTCGAATAAAATAATTACTAAAGTAATACAAACTCGAAATACTTATTTGTAATATCTGAAAATGATAAGAACAAAAAGGATCAATCTGTGCAGGTAATAATAGGAAACTTTAATTACTAAGAAAACTGATATTATATAAATAACTTAATAACTGGCTTAATCTACATTTATACATCGAATTTAGTCTATAATAAGCACTTATTATGAGTATTTATAATTTAGTAGAACATGCAATGCTTTCATATGTTTTAGGTAAACTCTCTTTCATTTCATTATTTCCTATACTTACTTACTTCCTTTTTGTTAATTACATTTTACTTTATAAATTGTTACAAACAAGAATATTTAGAGAACATTTTTTTTTTTAGAAATATTAATTTACATATTTATTTCTGAGACTATTATTATTCACCGTATATCAGAGTCAGATGTAATAAGAGGCAAGCTGGGTATTTCCCAGAGCGGCAAAAATTTGGGGCAGCTAATTTAAGGATATTAATTATGTAAATAATAAATAATATGTAAAGAATTATTTTTGCTCGGTTCCAAAAAGAGGTACAAAGTAGATAAGGTATTGGTATGTATTAGTTTATTTAGTATGGGAATGATTTATCAGGTGGACTTAAATCAACAAGGCGAGCTCCTAATGCAAGGTTCCTTCTTGGTTGTGTCGGAGAATAAACGCGACCTCCGGCTCAGAATACGACCGCGTCGTCGCCATATATTCCTTTACGAGAAAGCCATACTATTCTGTAAACCAGCCACAAAGAATAATCACAATAAAGCCACTTACCACTTCAAGCACGATCTCCAGGTAAGCCTACTTTCATGTTATAATAGACCCATATTTAAGTAATATCATCATGATCTCATCTTACAGTAGTAGAATTGAGATCCAGGTATATCAATTCCGTTGTTTAATTATTAAGTAAACATATTGAGTCGAGAAGTAAATATCAATTAAAATAAACCGAATGAGAATCTTATTAGCTTTAATCGCTAAATTGGCGCCCAACGTGGTACTCCAGTTACTGTTAATTAGTCCATAACAATGTAGAATTTTAGAACTCAGATGATTTGATAATATGATTAAATATAAACAGGATATGGACAATATACTATAGGTTCTAAAACCTATGGACTATCAATTATAATACTTTCCGATAAAATGGTATTGTAGAAATGAGAAATTATGGAGTTTTTCGATAAATATCTTGTGTTAATTTCACAATATGCCTTTCAATTTTAACAGATGTCACAAGTCGGACTCACCGAGTCAGTTAAAGGTGATCCACGCAAGTTCGAAGTATGGCGACAAGGCAGAGCGGAAGTTCACACGATCACAGCACCCACAGCGGAGGTGAAACGTGCTTGGGTCGATCGTGTAAAGCGAGTACTACTAGATCAACTGAAAGAACTCAAGGGCGAAAGAGTTAGACAATACGGCGCTCAGCATCACAAGTTAGTACTTGCAATGTAGAAATAAATTACGGCTTAAACTTATTGAGTTATTGCGAAAAAAATTTTTCATATTTGTGAAGCTCGTATTACACAGTATAGAAATCGTTATTCTATTTTACTTTTTAACCTAAAGCGTAACTTTACTAATTAATATTAATACATTGACAGAATTTAACAAAATAAGTAATAGGCCACTGTTGATGTTTCAATAAGTGTGCTATCTATGTTGGCGCCCAACGTGGTTTAAAAGTTGCTGAAAAAACTATTTTACAATTACCAAAAAAATGTTCTTATTATTTTAATTTTAACGCAATATAAACAGTACTAGCGGTTTTCCCGTGACTTTGCTCGCGTAATTAATAGCCTATGTCAATCGCGTATTATGTAGCTTTCTAGGAGACATAATTTTTAAAACTCGTAAACTTTTTATTATAAGGCAAACAATTATTTTGTTTATGTTTTTTTAGCATGAATATTAACCATTTTATTTTATTCTATTTGGGGAGCTTTTACAGCATTATTTACAATATAATTACATCTATAATACTTAAAGGCTAATAACAAGCTTCCATATATGCAGAAAATTCGTTGAAATTAATATTATTTATGTTAGATTAATGGAACTGATCACATAACCATTTCCAAACTAATATTATACATGCGTAACCATTGAACCAATTTTTATGGAATGTACACAGACATATTGGACATAGGATAGTTTATATCGAAAATACTGAATCTCACTCGGGCACCAAACCAGCTTGTCCATATATATATATATTATATAAACATTATTTTCCCATCAGGACACTGATACAGACTAGTTCATGGGACGTGCCCGCGAGCGGTCAACCGCCTCGCGTACACCCGCCCCACTCGCATGATACCCGCGCCGCATCGTGCGACGCGCACGACGAGCCCTGCTGGTCCACCGACCCCTCCGATGATGACGACGACGACCCAGAACACGCCCCCGTATGTATTACATGCCCACACACAATACACACAAAACATTTGGGGGTTAATATATACAAATATGTAAATATAAATAATTTAAAAAGCATAATAATAGATATACAAATTCGGTATCAGCTTCTAATGTATATAGTAAAAATTGTAAAGGAGGCTATAAAAAGAAATAAATCTTATAATAGAGAAATAAACCAAGACAAAAATAAAATATAATAAATAATACTCATTACATATAGAAAGAATCAAAATTAGTATAAATATAAATTGTATATAAAAAAATGTTTTAGATCCCATAGTAAAATATCCGGGAATCAAATAACACTTTCAGGAGAGCGACATGCTTCAAAATCCCAAAATGGAATGGAATGGAATAAAATAAAAATATCATATATAAAATTATCCAGGCCTGGTTATAATATAAGAACTTTCTTTAAGTCTATAAATTAATATGTTAATATGCTTATACAATATTAAAGTTAGAATGTCGAATTTAGACAAACAAAGCTCTTTTGAAATTAAGGACATTAACATTTTAATTTACTAGAATATCATCAATTCATTGATAAAAACGTTTTTATAGCTATAAGCGGTATTGAGGTAGGCGATCGCTTTACAGAAAGAGGAGGCGGCTTAACAGGCGACATTTTACCGACACTGCTGACGATAGATAATATTATATATAGAAAAATAATAAAGATGTTGCTTAGGTTAAAAAAAGAAATTTTATTAATTCCGTCAATTAAATATTATAAAAAATATTTAAATAATATAAATATTTTTTGCTCAAATTTAACAAGAAATGGATTAGACAATAGACATTCAAGTTGAGGAGTGGGGCTCGCTACGTCACAACTACGTAGAATAGTAAATGTATAAAGGTGTGACGTCACACGACATTTCATCTCAATGTACCGCCTTTATTTATTGATTACGCCAAAATATAATAGTATTCAATAATTTACCCGACGAACAGGCTAACAAATATAAGTAGTATTATGATTAAAGTCAGTGTATTATGTTGTGGACCAAGCGATAAATTAGGGCATTCATTAATCATAATATGCGAGCATTATGATTGGCAAGCTATTACGGAAAAAAATAATAAATTTTGACTTGAACTATAAATTAAATATACAACGACACATTGTACTCCAGCTGATCAGTGAGTGCTATGTGAATAGGAACGTCTAAACATTTATTATTATGTATATGTTATAATCGTGATATATAAAAATGATGATAACCGAAACAACTTTTAAGCGGTTTCATCGCGTTTGTATTAAGTTTTATGACCATACTTATGTGAACACGGAACCTGTAAAGAGTCCGAAACGTCACGCAACATCGGTTCATTTATGGATAGTGCGCGTAAAATTATAAGAAACCAATAAGGTGATAATCGTAGATATGTAGATATTTTATTGTATATTTTCGCGTGCACTACTCTTTTAATCGAACTTTGAATATATTAAGCACGTGTATAATTTTCATTTTATTACATACATAGCTCCATGAGCACTATACTGCTCTAAAAAAGATAACATGTCTAATATTATCGTATTATCATATAAAAATGTAATAAAATATAAACACGCATTGAAATATGTTCGAAATTTGTTTTTATTAAATAGTAACGGTACTTCCGATATTTATTTAAATAAGTTCACAAGACTTTGTCTTTAACAAAGTAACTATAAAGGTATAAACAGTTATATGATAATTAAGTAATTAATAATATATATGTCATCAATTTAATGGGGGCTTACTTATCATTACTCGCTTTAACATTAATTGTATTGTAAATTATGTTTATGTTTTTACTGAGATAATAACTTTTAAACTGGTGTCCATACGTAATCTTAATAAATTTCGTTTACAATAATTTGTAATTGTGTATAGTTATGTCAACTAAGGTTAACTGATAATACCTCCTTGGTACTAACATTAGAAAAAGAGGTGCTTATTAGTGGGGTAGCTTAACTAAACACGGGCCTACATTAATGCCAACTAATTTTGGGTTCACAGTGTTGAGTGAAGTGAAAAACCACTCTATTGTGTAAGTGTAAAGTATATTTTTATAGGAATGTGGGCTGAATAGTCACGGGTAGCGCATGTCAAACGCTAGCAACCCGATCGCACATAACGCTTGACATACCTACTTTGATATTTATATGGGATATAAGAATCATATTAGGCGAAACGATTATATTGGAATTTACTGTACTTGCTACATTAATACAGTATATTCTCCAAAACATTTAAAAGTAAACGTCCCCAGTCCAAGATTCACGCCGTCCGTCGCTGCATAATTAATTTAGCAACCCATTCATCGCTTTTGATTAGTTCTTTTAATAGATTTACGAACTAGACACTAGCACTGAGACTTGGTTTAGTTCTGCACGGTCACGCGGCACCTTACACAATGATTATTTCACTAATATAAATTTAATAAAGCGCGCCATATTAATTGAGCATAGCTTAGTATATCTGCCATTTTATACGTTACGTTATACAAAATGGCCGCATTTTTTTAAGTTGTGTTGTTCAACAGGTGACGGAGGCCGTCGGTCTGAACGGTACCATACACAGAATGGTACAGTTCTTTTCAGTATCAGGCTCCACGCAAGCCACGTCCACGTTTTACGTGTCACAGTACTGATAATACATAACATTTGAAGCTAAGCCAATAAAGGCAATGTAAATACAATGAAAAGAGACTGATGTTATATATCCAAAGCTTTATAAACCAAAGAGTTCGACATTAAAACCCCTGGATATATCAGTCGTAATTGCCGAAAATTAACTACCGTGTAAGTCGTGATTTGTTTGTTATGTCATTCACTGTAAGTGTGCTTTTTGATTTTAATTATGCGCTTGCTTTGATATATCATTTATTGTCAGTATATATTTTATTTTGTAAGTACATGTTATTACTTTACCTACATAATGAATTATTTATTATACTTAGTCATATCGCCAAAACTCCAATAATACATACGATCACTTTCCATAATTAAAGATGTGATAAGAAAGCATTAAATTTACCTTGACTGGCTGAAAATACTTCAGTATATAGGCATATGTATTTTATAACTATTATTAATTTCATATTTTACACCAAACTTTAATTAACATTAAAATTTTATTAATATTCCGTAATTTTATTATAGATGCGCACGGCATCGTCGGCTTGTATCACTCTTGGTCGCCATGTTTCTATACGCAAAAAATTACTTATTTACACTTTAAATATACATTAATTATCTATTAAGGTACTCGTTCTATTTCTATTATTTGGAACATACACCAAAAAGTCTTAATTTATATGTGTATCTATTAATCGATTAAGTCAATAATATATCAATTTTATTAAAAAAACGTTATTTCTCAAATCTAATACTCTGTTATTGGCTGTCTTATTTTATGTACCTACACAATTTCGGCTTCGAAATTATGCACTTGTATTGATTGGACTCGACATGGACGTTTTATTGTTATATTAAATACTGTCTTTATTCGATAACTCAAAAATACATGTGTAATAGTTAAGATGATAAAATATCTCTATCTAATGTATATTTCATAAATTTGAAATACACGCTATTTTATAAGCAAGAAAATGTTCACTTAAATGTTGCAAAGGCTTTTCACTAATTTGCATGGCATAGTAGATACTGACAAACTTAATGGAAATGGTGAGTGTGGAAATGTTATTAAACAAGGTGTTACTACATATACAGGGATATTTTTAAAACGCCAGCATCCACACAGGACTACTTAACTAACATTATAAACAACATGTTACATGTTTGACCATAATTCAATACTTTGAAAATTATTTTAAAATTTTTATTGTAGTGTCGTGTCTTTTATTGCCTTTCAGAATGTCCAATTTCCCTAATATTCAGTTCTCAAAATGTCCAGTTTAGTATCAAATATTAAACATTAACAGCCTTACTACATCTTATTCATTAGTGTATTCAACAAACTCATTATATTACTAGATGGGACATTTTGGGAATTGAACATTGCGACAACTGAACATATTGGGAATTGGACGTTCTAAACTGAAACGATTTACTCGTTTGTTTCATTCATAAATAAAAGGACGACGCTTCAGTGTCGTGCTAATATAAATTTTGTGATGAGCGTAGATTTAATAAGTAAGTAAAGATTAGTATTTAAAGTATTAGAATTTATATTTGTACAAAAGCAAAATGTAAAGAATCATCAAAAGTCATAGTCCGAGAGTGATATTACCTATGAAGTCCTACAGTTTGTTGATATTTTCAAAATAGCCCTGTATATAGGTATACATAATGATAATCTAACAATATATTTATGCACACAAAATAAGCGAAATAAAAATATAAAAGCATGCAACGTATCGATGAATTTTTATAGATGCAGTTTGAACAGGATGAAAGAATGCATGATTTGATGTGAACTGAATGGTATAAAAAAAAAAAGTTAAGCCATAAACATATTTATGTATGTAATTACCATTTAAATATGGTTTTGGTTATAACTTGAAACAACTATTTCTACGTATATTATTTTAATACCTACACTAAATATCGAAACAATCTATTTACTAAGAAGGGCAACAAAACAAACCAATAATGTGACCAAAAATGACGTCTTAATAGTTTTATATTTACTATATACATTTCTTAGAAAACATACATTTACCGAACAGCACATTATAAAATACACCATTTTTCTGCAATCCAAAATCAATTCTATATATTGTCAACGTTTCAGAGTAGTACTATACATATCATTTATATTCACACAAAATTCCTTAAAATAAAATCTAATAATTTATCAATATATCTACTATGCTAACCAAAGTATATATTTATTGTAATTTCATCAATTTACCAACCAAAGAAATGTTTTCATAATTGGTATTTTTAATATTTATTCCACTCACATAAATTAGTTTGACACGAAACTTGTTCAAATTATTATTCTAACTAGGATTTTTATTTTGTAACTTCATCGATTCAGACTAAAATATACATGAATTAACATATAAATTAGTCCATCTATCGCCCCTGAAGTATTTTCCCTAGGAGCAATACATGTCCAAGTATTTCCACTAATAGAAATCAACAAGTTTTCATATGCATTATCAGAAATAGTTTTAATATTTTATTTATAACTATAATTTTAATTATGACAGTTTGAATAGCATAGTTGAAATACTTAGACGTGTATTGGCCCTAGGGGAAATACTTCAGGGGCAATAGATGAACTAACCGGTACATTGTTTATACTAGGTGTATGGTTATTAAATGAATGTCGTTGGGGTATAGGCGGTGGGGTGTGGTCTGGTCGCACTATCTGATTACACCGCGGTGGGCGCCAGTGAAGTATCACTGCGGGAGGGCCAACAAGCGGAGCTACTCAAGGTGGGCTGCGCGGGCTGGTGGTACGTGCGACTTGCAGGTACTGTATACATTAACTGTTTATTATTTTTATATTATACTTGCTTTTGTTCGCAGCTTCGTCCACATGGTATAAAGGCTTTTAATAACGAACTTCGATACAAAGTTTTATACCCTTTAGTCAAATTTTTCGCAATGATACAAACAATGACTCGACGAATTGTTCGTGACATGTTGTTTTAAACTTTCATAGTCACTAAGATCAGAATGATTGCTAAATACAGGATTGTTATCATGTACCTTATATTTTGTGAGATTCCGATAGTTCGACGCTGTTGCAAGCGCCATGATCATGGAGCAACTGAAGTGTGTGTCGTCGGTGGGCGTTCGTGACATAAAATAATAATTATACGTAAAAAACTAATGCACTAGGCTCTGTTGAGATACTACTTACACGGATCGGAAGTCAGTTTGAAAACACACAACGATTGTACAATTTGTTTGTCTATTTGTTATAAAATATGTTTATTCTAACTGTATACCCTATACCTATATCACAGATCTTGACAAATAAATAACTAATCTAAATTTAAGATATGGCCCACTATCTAAAATTGTCTCCTATTTCTTCATTTGTTATTTTTGGCCCCCGCTAAACAAGTATTTCTGCATGATTAGGACTAAAATAACTATATACAATGTTGATGATATACAATGAAATTCGTGAATAAGTGACCAAGTTATAGATTATTTAACACTACGTCTTTGGTCTCCGACTCGCCTGTGACGTCACAGCACCGAACTCGAGATCGTCGCACTACAAATGAAATAGAAGTCTTTGGAACAAAACTTTGTGTCAATGATTGTCTAATAAAAATAGGCACAAAAGTCGCTTGAAGAAAATAGGCACAAAATACTGCATGCGGGCCTTATCGACCAATGTAAATGTGCTTGCAGTAGTGGATAAACCAATGACAAGCAATGATTGCCTACTAAAAATAACCACAAAAATCGCTGCATTCCGTATGCGGGTCCTAATGACAAATGTAAATAAACTTGCAGTTGTGGATAAACCAATGATGGTCAATAATAGCCTACTGAAAATAAGCATAGAAATCAACCGCACTCTGCATACTAATGACAGACAATGATCGCCTATTGAAAATAAGCAGTGATCGTCCGCACACCGCACGCGAGCACTAACGACCAATGAAAGTGAGCTTGTACTATTCTATAAACCTTTTTGTCAACTGTGGATTTGCCAACGTCATCTTTGTCTGTCTTTACTTCTGCCAGTACGTTACAGCCACTTTATTCCCAAAGTATTGGCATAGGTAATAGTTAGTAGGTAACTCTTTTAGTCTTGTTTTGTTGAGAGACTATTATAGATTGAGACTATAAGTAGATACATTCTATTTAACACTATTATTTTTATTGGGGTTTTTTATTGTTGTACTTTATTATATAGGGACATAACATTATATAAAATAGAAGATTTTTAGTGCCCTCCATCGAATATTAAACAAAACGCGATTGTAAGATGCAGGCGTGGCTCAAAAACGAATTTATAATAAGCTACTGAGCCGCGTCCTCGCGGTCTTGTTCAATGAGTTCAATAAGTCACGTCACACTGAGGTACCGCGTGATGCAAAATTATTTTAGCGAGCGCAACTTCAAAGTCTCATAACTTTAATATTTATGTAAATAAGAAAGAATTTTTTTCACAGTATTTTTTGATTATCCTTATTCTTTCATTTTCGACGGGCTCAATAGCGCGGGGGTAGCGTTCCTACTATTACGCCGAGAGTTGTGGGTTCGATCCCCACCCAGGACAAACATTTTTGTGATTAACAATTATGTCTGTTCTGTGTCTGGGTGTTTTCTATTTATATTATGTATATATATTTATTCCCCCCGTTTCTAATATCCGTAACAAAAGTGCCTAAGCTTCTTACCTCGGAATCGGATCAGTGTGATGTGGTCCGATATTTATTTAAATAGATAAAAAGTTAGTAAACTTGTCAATTATATATTTGTTATACAGGCGGTCACGGTGAAGGTTGGGCGCCGGCAGCGTATCTCGATCAGCGGAAGACGTCGCGCTCATCGAGTCGTTCACACGACCGTCTGATACACGATCACTGAGCGACTGCCACGTCTTATAGACCACCATCCCTGACACGGGCGGAACGAAGCTTCACGATACGTTGGTGTCTAATAGATCACAAATCTAGTCTTGGGCGTAATAGTTCACAACTGAGATCGAACTAGTTCCTTACAAGTTCTGTCATGTAGTTCGTTACTTCGTTAGATTCCTAGCTCTTTGCTCTTTGCAGCAGGAGAACGATCTGCCTTATAGTTGAATTATTTTAAGGCAGTTCGTTCGCCCGTTTTAATACTGCCTCTTTCTGTTGTGACCAGATTATTGAATATTGTAAATTTATATCAAAATTTAGGACTTTTGAAAATTAAAAAATAAATAAATAAACATGTAAATAAATAGGTTTATGGTTTAGGCCGTTTGAATAACAATTATATTTTTTGCCTTTATGTTTTTGGTTCGGTCAACTTCACCTTTAACTACTCATTCTATCACGAATTAATGAACTACGGAACGGGAAATATGCGAACTAGTTCGTCTGTGGTAGCTATTACTTCGAACCAGTTCGTTCGCCAACTAGACACACACAAATCAGATAACCACTGGCGGAAAGTTAAATGGCCACTAACGTAAAAATATGGCCACTAACGTAAAAATATGGCCGCTAAAGTTAAAATATATGGTCACTTACGTAAAATTAGACGGTCACTAACGTGAGCACCTAGGATGACTTCGTTCTTAGCTATAAGTAATTTTGTTGTGAGCCAGACGCTTGATAAAACGATTTATGTTGATTAATGTTACGGTGGTTCCGGAAATTCGTCAACAATTTTAAAAGTGTTTGGTCATATATTTGGCTGGAAAATTATGAATAAATGTTAGAATTCATAATAGTAGCACGTTTAAAAGCCACGTAGAGATTGTTTAGATAGTGGTGATCACCCCCACTCGTTGTTGATGTCGAACAATAATAAATTGTTTAAAAAAAGTATTGTAAATGTTGTTCTCAAAAGCTTTATTGTAAATTAGTGTAGCATAGGCCCGTATTATAACGTATCGTTACTTGCGCTGAGCATCCAAAGCTACCCTTAGATCATTTGTTGAGTGGCCGTGACTGTTTTCATGTTTATATTTCTGTAAATAATTATTTAATTATTAGTAAGTAATTTATTTCGATATTAAATAAAGCTTTCAGTGTTTATGTCTCACTTTTCCATGACACTTACCTGTGGATATAGTTTAATACTTGTAACTGCATTATATATATTATAAAATACAGAATTTTTGAGTGATCAGATCAATCGTCTCATATCATATTTCATAATAATCATATCCCATGAAAGTGCTGTATATAAAAAAATATAGATACCTATTTGTTGTCTATGACAAGAAAGGTAATTTATACAATTGATTTTTGCGCATTATTATTTGCATTATTTTATAGAAATGGAATAATTTTATTGCCTACATTTACAAACTTATGTTGTTTCCTAGTCAACATGTTTAGATAAATATTCTTTCATGAATCTTATAACAATCCATTAGATATGTATTTACTTTTATTTGAATATATAATGTACCTACTTCGTGAATCGTGATGTCTGTTTATGGTACGGTCAGAAAAATATAATTAAGTTATATGGTCTAAAAGTTGATGACATTTTATTCTTTTATGCTGATTTGGAGATATGGACCATACGAGTTAGATCCGCCTTGACTGGAAGCAAAACAAACATTACAAAACCTAAAGTCTCAGTTATACCTCGAGCAGGTTGGTACCTAGTTATCATGCATTTACATGACACACAAGCCGGGGCTAATATAATCACTTTATAAATATATATGTGTATGTAACCGATAAACATGAGGTAGGCTATTTGTTATTGTCGCTTTTTAAAAAATATTGCATGCCAGAGAGAGAACTTGCAATTAGCGTGATAGGTTTTCTATAATTTTTTTTTCAGTCTGTACTTTCTTCTTTGAAACATTGAAACTTATTCTTTATATTGTAATAAATTTGCTTCTCGTGCCACCACAATACCTATCGTCATTTTATGAATATTTTCATAGCATACCTATTTTTTTTTATGAAATTATGTTCAAAAGCTGATCATGATTACACGGAAGTTGTTCATTTTTGTGTTTTATTTATCCTTTTTATCACCTCATTGATATAATTTAGACTTAAAAAAATTAAATTAAATTTCAAACAAATGAGTTAATAAATTACTAATATTTCTTCAGTATTAAGTGCCTTTTTTGTGTTATTTGATCTCAGGGCGATCTGTATCTCTAAAGTTTTTATAGTTTTCGAATACTAATTATGTTACAATATATTTTTTTCCATTTATTATCGAATCCGAAATGTTTACAAATTTAATTCTTACAAGATTGTAATAAACCACTGAGATTTGTCAATTATATTGCCCGTCTTAGCACAACAGGCGCCCGATTGCAAGCAGAGCTCTGCAGTATGCAGGGTCAGTGCAAGTAAAGCTTGACAGTGGGTTACCAAATTCCATTATCACGACGTACATTTGGCTGTACAGCTAGGCACCCAAGCAACAAAGACTGTCTGAATAATCTCTATATAATAGCAATATTTCTGCTACAGTCATCGGGATAGCGTTTGTTAAGCCCTTATACAGACACGTCAGCTGTTATAATATATATTTTTTAAATAATTCGATATATCCAATGAATTAGGTACATAAGTTTCTTTGCATGCACTTTAATGATTAAAGATAAACTTAAGAATTTAAAATTTCTATAACACCTCTAGTAATAGTCGTACGATTTAGCTCACATAATATTTTGTTTTATAGTATAGGTATTTATTATTTTGGAATATACAAAAGGTGGGCTTAATGCTAAAAGGCATTTTCTACCAGTCAAACAGAAAAGATGATGGAGCCTGACTGTTAGGCGATAAGAATAATATACCTACCTACCTAGTAGCCAAAAAATATAAGTAATATACTTAACTATCGAAATAATTATATTTGACTTTTTTTACTTTTGTACAAGCTGTGAACATTCTCCTTTCATGGTTAATCTCTTTCCTTGTCTAGGTCAACAGAAGACTTTTGATACCCTGGAGGGCATCGGAATATGCGTTTTTGTGTTGTAAACGGGTGTATCTCCTTTTTACGTTAATTAAGAAGTTTTATTTATTCACAGCTCTCGAAGCTGTGATATTTTTGTACAAGTTGTAATAATACATTACTTTTAACGATTTAATAAAAAATATATCACAGATAGATAGTAAGATCTAACTACTTCCTTATAGTTTGTAAATAATCCCGAATGATTTTTCATAAAAGTGCAAAATATAATTAGTTACTCATTGAATTACAAACGGCTGTGAAACGTTTTATAAACTATAGTCTTTTATAAATTGTAAAACCTCTTCATTTAAGTATCTCTAGGTGTGAGGTCATGTTCTTCTCTGCTATGATAATATTTTTAGATAAATTTGTGAATGTACCTACGGCAGAACATCAGGTTACCACAAAAGTATCAAATATTCGACTATGAACTTTGCTAACTACGCAATAAGAAGAAAAATCAAGTCTCCGCGTGATTCTTCTTGATGTGTACAACCTACATGCTCACTCTCGAACGCAATCGCGATCGACCGACATTGCAGTCATGCCGTTCCGTACACTTGATTGGTACCCAATCACGAAAACCGGCGCGATTGCGTTCGAGAGTGTAAGCATGGTGATTTGCTCATCCAGTGCTATGGACTGTAATATGTCATATCATGAGACATCAAATATGCAACCCGTCCCAAATACATGAAATAACCTTATATTACAATCAACCTCACCATAAAAGTGCGTCACATTCCTTCGTTTATTTTAAACCTTAATACTTAATTTAAGTTCATATTTAACTTCAAAATTACATTTCGTGGTAGTTAGGTATTTAACCTGATGTCTGCTGTATGTATTTTCCGTAATTTAGCTCTTCAATAAATATAAGAATAGTAGCATATTTCCTTAGGAAAGTCTACTCTTAGTCAATAATAGTAAGAATCAACTAGCTATTATGTCTCATAAAGACATTATAGACGGAGAACAAGAGCTTTCGCTCTTGTACATTTTTGTCACAAGCTTGATTTTTCGGTATGTTGAATATACTATTGGTATCACTCAGTATCCAGAGGTCCAGTGCTGGAACACCTGGTGGCGGCGGCACGAAACAAACTTTTTTGATGATATTATTAAACTAAGAGTGTTTTTTTATGAAATAACTACTAATCATTTAATAATAAATCTCAATATTTTTTCGGCGCTCATTTTTACACCAACTTTTGAGTTCTTCTGAGTCGCAGCATTTAACGATTGTGCGATCTGAGCAGTATAGCTCTTTTTTATGTAAAGAATTAGTTTTTCGAAAATTGTCCTGTCGCTTCATGGTGTTCCAGCACCACCTCTCCGCACGTCATTTTTAGTGATTCATAGGTTAATACTTACTTAGTAATTCAACGTCTAACACCTTCATCACTCGTTCCACCTATTATATCTATGGCTGCAGTAAATACAGCTTTTAGATATAAACTGTACTCAAGATTATCTTTGAAATTGAAATTTATTTTATTCCTTTGATGTGATGTGTGCATGATCACGCCTTTGTTCGAGCTTATGACCAATTTATACAGAAAATATAATCAATTTATACTATAACATAATTTTATGTTATTGTTAATACTGGAAATAAAATCTTTAAATATCGGATCTTTGTTTAATTAGATACCTAACAAACAGGTGAGCCTAAGCAATTTATTAATCAAGAATTTCAAAGTTAATTATCACATATTTATACTCTTATCAATAAACAAATAGAGCATGACTGTTGCGCAAGACAGAAAGATATCAATCGTTTAGATAATAAATTTCCGTTTGCCTTCAATAATAATTAATTAATCCATGCATCTATTAATTAATGTTAAATAGAAAAAAATGCTGGAAGGTTCAAAAAGTATTTTTAATTTGAGTTTCAATACAATTATTTGAATATATTTTGTTGCACAAAAAGTTAAGGTTCAATGGCTTGAAGCTCTATTAATTTATTTGTGTTGGTGATGTCGCTTCAATCTAATGACAATTTTAATGTATGTTTGTGCAACTGGGCTTTTATCTGTTACATTTGATAATTATATGGTCTTAGGTTTAACAATGCCTTTAAGCTCTAATAAATGACAATTTGATTGGGTAATGTGGATTTAAGCTAATGCCAGTTTTAATGGACTTTTATGCAACTAGACTCCTATATTTTTATAAATTTATTAAATATATCCATTGTATAATAAAACAACTAGGCTCAATATCAATCCATCCATATATTTGTCCAAGAAAAATAGTCTCTAAAAAGTTAACTACCTATTTTCTCACAAGAGATAACCCAAACAGAGATTGATTTAATTGCATGTAAATGTTATTATGTACAAAACCACTTTCACTTAAGAAATACTTGTAGATAATGCATATTCTACTGGGAAGCTCTATTGAAAATCCTGCTTTTGAATATATTGTCTATTTTACTGAACACTGCTTCAGCAGGCTTAGAAGCATCCACTCTGTAATGGAGACCTCTCCTCATATAATAGTCAACAAGTGGAACAGTTTGAGCATGATATGTGGCTAAGCGTTTCTTGAGAGCATCAACATTGTCATCCGATCTCTTAATAAGTGGCTCCCCGGTAATATCATCAGTCATTGGTTTCTTAGGAGGATGAAATTCTTCATGATAACTCCTTCCACTCGAAGGGTGGATCAACCTTCCTGTGATTCTGCGTACCAGTAAGCTATCCTGGATACCAAATTCAACTACTGCATCCAGTTCGGTCTTACGCTTGCTTAATAAGTCATCCAACTAGAAAAAAAAAATATAATCATTAAGATTTAATACCTTTACACTAAGAAAAGATGTACCTTGGTGGCATTGTCGATAATTGTTGTTAAGCAACTTTCGCAATGGTTGGTCATAGGATGGGTGACCAAAAAATCCTCAATAAAGAAGGCCTGAGCCCCTGCAGTGGGGTCGTAATAGGACTGACGATAGTATGATGATATGACGATAGTTTGTTTACATATATATATATATATGTAAACAAACCAAATGGAATGAATAAGCCAACTAAAAACCAATAGCTTTTACAAATTACTTGTTCTTATTTAATTTATGATGATAAGATTAATTCTTGATATTAAGAAAGCATAAATTTATGTGATGTAAATTGCTTAATTACTAACAATTGCTTATCATATACAATAGGTTTGGTATCTAAAAAAGCAATACAGGTAAAAAAGGAAATACCTTTTCAGCTTGGGGTACAGTCCTTGGAAAACCATCCAGTAAAAAACCATTCTTGCAATCTGGCTGGTCAAGGTTCTTGTCAATCATGTCCACAACCATCTCATCAGACACCAATTTCCCCTCATCCATAACTTTTTTTACACGGCGACCTAGTTCAGAACCTGATGCTACCTCCGCACGAAGCATGTCGCCAGTAGACAAATGGCATACACAATATTTCTCTTTTAATAGCGGCGCCTAAAAAGTTATGTAGATATTTATAAATTATAAGAAGCTTAGAGTAAAACATCGCTATTTCTCCCAGTCACTGTTTATTAAATTTTATTAAATAACAAAAAAAAAACAATTGGAATAGAGGGTAAAGGTTAAAGATAAGAAATTCTCAGTCTGAAAATACCTGAGTTCCTTTTCCAGATCCTGGAGGCCCCAAAAGTACTGCTCTGATGCCTATAGGGTCATTATCAGGTACAGGTTTCACTGCAGGTGCTGCGGGTGCCATTTTATTATTTAAATTTAAATATAATAAAATAAAATCTTGATAGGTAACCTTTAGCTTCACAAACTTGTAATGTTATTTTACGAGTTCGCTCTTCGCTACAGAAGCGATAACGTCTTCCTTCGCTCGTTCCACGTACGTCGAACGTCACAATGACAGATGCCACAAGTAGTGAGTGACAGAATTTTGCTCTTGATATTGACTATGAATGTATTACACAAATAGGACTGTGCAACAGAAAAACGAGTTAGCGTGCGTTTTGAAGGGAAAACAGAGTAGAAAAGCGAGTTAGTAAGAGGATGTCTGTTTCTTACTAATAGGGTAGCTCGGTGACGTAGTGGTTAAGCATTGCGCCTTGCGATCTTTTTTATTAAGCAACTTTCTCAAGGATCGGTTACAGGATGGGTGGCCAATAAATGATTATCTCGAGCTACTCCGTGCTTCGTAAGGCACGATTAGACTTTGGTCCCAGCTGCATATGCAATCGTTAATACTGCATTAGGCCAAATTAGAAGACCCGCCCTCCTTAACAATCCATACGAAAGCCGTGAACCCCTGCAGTAGGTACGTAAAAGGGGTAATAATGAGGGCGACAATAACATGTTCGGTAGGACGGAAATAGAGCTTCGTCAAAATATTGTCTTTTACTCCAAGGAATTAACAAATTGACTCTGATATATCAAATTGTAGCCATAATTTCCAAACCATCAAGTCCTATAAATGTAGATATTGTACTAATAGATCTGTAGTTAACTTTTAATTTATTTTATTTTATAGATATCTAAAAAAATATTTTAAAAAGTATCATTCATATAATAAGTTAAAATAAATAAAAAAAAAAATTTAAAGTTCTCGCGAAAACTTTACTTCTGTCATGGCATCGCTATGACGTCACGAGCCTTTGAAACTAATATTGTTCTATGTATGCATAAGGTTGAATTCTTTAAGTTCTGATATGAGGAAGAGGGGCGTGTTCTCATGATAACGATGACTATTGAAGGTGTTTCCGCGAAACACCTTCAATAGCCCATGAGCACAACTTATTCAGTCCTATCGTTTCTATTGATATTTATGTAGTCCAGACATACATAGGATTCCCAACTATGAAGTAAATCATTCAACTCAACACCGATAGCTTCAGGAGACAATGGATCCGATCACCGATAGACTCACCAAAGTTAACAGTAGTGCACAGGTTTCCAAATAAACTGCAATCATCTTATGAATGGCAAAAACTGTTCTTTGCAATATTTATTCACAATTAAACACAAAATAATAAAAATAATCCAATTTCGGTGTGATACCGTAAACCGATAATTCAGGGCCGCCACATCTCCAAGCCGGGCCCGGGACCAGATTCTGCGTTTAATTATACGTTTAATTATACATTTAATTTAATTTTAATCAAATAAATAAAAGAAAGTGTAACTTAAGAATTGAAAATTCAAGTATTCATAATACCAACAAGTAATTAGCAACCAATTACAAAACCATAAAAATGCCATAAATTAGCATGAAACGAAGATTCTATATCCAATCAGTCATAGGATTTTTTATTTTAACTACTTTAAATACAATTATTGGTGAATAGAGGGCGTATTCAGAGAAGTTCCAATTTACTAATTCCTCAAAGGTATGATTGTGGCAGAAATTATGATTGACTAAATTTTATATAATCATTAATCAACACATATAATTAACTTTATTTTAATGTTATGGACGGATTAAAAAGGAAAGTCTCTGTATACAAGATGGCTGAAGGAATTAGTTGAAACAATGATTAAATCAAATATAATCTTATCAGGGACCGTCAAGTGTACACTCTGTTTTATATAGGCCTAAAAATTCTAAAATACTTTATTTACTAAATACAGGACAGGACCGGGCCACCCCTGGGCCCGGGCCCGGGGCAATAGTACCCACTTGCCCCCCCCATGTGGCGGCCCTGCGATAATTTGAACAACAATAACGTTTTATCAAAAAGTCATGTCTGTTTCGTACGTGAGAGAGTGTATCTTTTTTTTACTAGCCGCGGCATCCATCACCGTTGGGTCGTGGATTTGTAGTTTACCCAAATATTGAGAAATACTATGCCTGAAAAATTACCCTAAATTAATTCGTTACCTTTGGCTTCGATTGGTCTTTAAATGTAAATGAGTAAGGCTTTTTTGATGTTGTTGGCCGTTCGTTCGCTCAATTTGTACGTCACATATGATTCAGATTCAATGAGTTAATCGATATGTCGATATGTAATTAACATCCCTAAAAAGCCCTCCTTTGCATATACTCTTTGTCTTTCCTTCAAACCATAGAGTAAGGTAGAGTGGAAATATTTTCTATGGTTATATAAATATCATGCAATCTGAAGTTGACATCAAAAACATCATGTTGTCTTTTTTTAACTAATAAGAAGTTTCTTTATTAAACAAAGATAACACTAGTGTGACAGTTCAAAATTTTTTACGTGACGTCATGAGATATAGCTATCGTACCACCTGTCAGCCATTTGCAAATTTGCTTTGCGTATTCTCGGAAGTAGTTCAGCTGTCAGTGTTATAAGTTTTGTGGTTATTTTCATTTATAACTTTAATTTATATAACTTTCATGGCAGAAAATTGTAAATTATTTATGCAAAACAATGCCTAGGCGCTGTATAATTGGTTGTGCGTCATCAATATCCCGCAAACCGAGCAATATTACGTTTCACCGGTAAGTTAAACACTTTCTTGGAATAACAGTATTTAAAACGTAAGTAAGTTATTCTGAAAATGATTGCGTGTATAAATCGATACATATCGTATTTTGGCGTGTTCTATTTATGCTATATTGCTCTTTTCGTTTATATTTTTATAATATTTCGGTCCGTAAATAATATTGTTTACATGGCTAGTGTCGTTACTTTAACATATGGTTTATATCGATAATTTTAATATTTAAAAATATATTAATTATTTTAGAATACCAAAAGATGAAACAAAAGAGGAAAATGGCCGAGTTACATAGAAGCAGAAAATATTAAATGTAATGAAAAAGTTACTTTTATCTGTTCACTTCATTTTAGGGAAAGTTGTTTGAATCGAACTTTAAATATAATAAAATTACGAGATGATGCATTGCCAATCAAATACTCTGGTAAGAATTTTTGAAAATTGCTTTTAACTTATTTAAAAAAAAAATGTCTATTACACTTAGTTAATTTTCATTTGATTTTACTGATTTATTTATTTAGTTTTTTATATAGTCATTTTGTTATTCTATAAATGTACCTTATTTTTAGTCTTGCGGTCATATGACGACTATTTTAATTAAAAAAAATCAGAATGCAATATATAATAATATTAAAATATAAAATTCTGATCATAATATACTCCCAGTAAAATATACAATAAAATGAGTTAAATAATTTTAATAAAAATTAAAATATGCACACTTATCAAATTAAAGGCATAGTTAAAGGTTTTCTTTGCTGTTCAATAGTATAATCTTAATACCCAAATAATTATTTTGCGGCGTGGATGTTTATTTTGCTGATGCATCATAAAATACGCTACCTTTTTGAATTTAAATTGCTGACCGTTATCATGATTGTTCACAGAACATGAATTGCAGACTGTTTTAGTGCTGAGAAAATATTTGTATGCTTGCCTATTGATTAATCGGCTGTTTTCTTCTTGCTAACCAAATTTTAAAATAAAATGCCAATTGTTACTTCTTTAATAATGTTACTGTTATGCCAATTGTTACTTACTCATCACCAACTTTGTTTTCTTTATTTTCTCTTGTTTATTCATCAAAGTTTACAGTATTTTTATGTTCTTTTACCAATAATATAATACAAAGATTATGTAGGTGTTTCAAGTTTTCTATGTTTACTAATAAACAAGATGTTCTGAACTAAAATTGTGACACAGTACGCACGGTATCTCACTTAATGAGGAGGAAGCGAAATTTATTCAGTCAAAACAATTTATTGAATAAATTTATAGACAAGTTGGCTTACTAGTTACAAGCATATAAGAAAGTCGAAACTCTGTGCTTATAGTTCAGCAATCTATTACGGGAAACCTTGTACCGAGAAAAGAAAAACTGTAAGAAAGGAACCGGTAAGAAACTGCAAGGGCTGCTTTTGCACCCTGTTTAATTTCGTACTGAAAAATAAAAAATGACTTCATTGGACCAAAATGTCACTTTCCACCAAAACAATAAAAAATATATAACAGACAAAAAAAGCATAATAATTCATCCGTCAATCGACTCATTAAAAGCTTATTATAGTTTCCGTGGTAGTTATCTTGGACAGTAGTCACACTTCCCGTGGATGCAAAATTAAACTTATGTTAAAAAAACTATTTAATTATAATTGCAAAATGTCAACTTGACAATATATATGGAAATAATTATAAAACACGATTGATATTATTGTAAAACTTTTAAGATATATATTTTGGTACTATAGTTCTTAAAACTATGTAAAATTGGCTATATTAGAGGAAAAAGAAACATATTTATCGAGGTACAATCATATTATTAAATTATATTATTAAATAATATAAATGTGAAAGTTTGTGAGGATGGATGTTGGTTACTCTCATGTAAAAACTACTGAACGGATTTTGATGAAATTTGGAATACGAATAATCTTTTACCCGTGGCGTGGGAAGCGCCATCATACGCTGGTAACATATGTTATATTTACTATAGTGACGCAACGGAGTCGCAAGAACAAAGAACGCAAGAAATTTTAGATGTCCAACAAAATATGAGCAAAATAATTGATAAATTCACACCACTTTTAAAAAAATATTATTTTCTTGATACTGGCGTGAATTTTTCAATTTAATTAAAAATAATCATAAATAGGATTGGTACGTAAGTGTGAAAAATAACAATGAAAATTATATTATATTATTTAATAAGTAGTAGTATTGTAGCAGTTTCACGAAATACTAACTTTTATTTAATATGACTTCAATGTCGATACATATATCGATATCTTGGGTCACGCCCTATGACAATCCGCCATCGAAGAATTTGCATTTGAAGTTTAGGCATATACGCTTTTTTCGTAAGTATGGCCGGTCCTCTTCTTTTATGTCTATGCTTCAAACCAATATTGGTCTATGCTTCAAACTTCAAACTTTTTATTTCAGTTTTGTTGTTGCTATTCTTGTTGTTGTTCGTTCTATTTTATATTTTTTGTGATATTTTTAAAATAAAAATATGTTAGGTTTATTTACATATATTTGTGAACTCAAGAAAGAAATTTTAGTGGGTTTATCACTGTCTATAATATATGTAACCTATTATCTTGTGGAAGCAGTCAAGGTAAAATAAATTACTTTATTGAAATTGACCTCGAACGAAAGCGGGATAGGAAAACTCTTCGAAGCTTACTTACGTCTTTAGCTATGACATAAGGCTATTGCCTTTTGCAGCTTTTTAAGTGGGCTTGGTCTTACACAATTTTAGTTACATATTTTACATAGAATATATTTATATTCCAATAGAAAACTCCAGATCATAATAAAGTTCCTCTACTAAAAAACTATACTTGTAGTCTTCAAAAAATAAATAATTTTATTTGCGTTCTAGGAATTCGGAATGTTTAACTTTGTGTACTATTTTATTTTATAGATGAACTTATCTCTATAAAATTTTGCTCCTTATTTTTTTTTAAGTTTAATTAATTATTTTTGGCTACTTTCTAAATCTTGCTACTGGCATTGAAATTCGATAAGCTATGGGTAACTATATCATTTAAACAACTGAAAATGTAGCAGGAGGGAATTTATGATTTTTTTTATAACAATAGATCTTATTTTTAGTGTTAAAAACGATTTGATTGTTTGAAATTTTACATATGTAAATAATATTTATATATCTGACTTTGTCCTTTTTTTCATTAATATATGGGAAATCAATGTTTTTGCTGTTAGAGTAGTTTAAAACATATTTATTTCAGAAATAATATGTCCTTGAGATTCTCAACACTGTGTGGATTTTGATTTTAAGTATGAACTAGCAAGACTATCTATCCCACCTCCTTGTATGAAAATTAAGACCGAATTCCTCCCCCTCCTTTAAATAATTAAACATAATAAATGTATGACCTATTAAATTATGTACTCACCTATAAACCTATAATTTATATAATCATATACCCCAATGTCTTATGTTATGTCCTTGTGACTGAATTGTTAATGGATAAGTAACTTTTAGTACTTGGTGCATAATCTTCCTTCTGCCTTTTACTAATGCTAGCTGCCAATGCCAGCTACATTTGACAGAAAATTATGTGTTAAAAAGTCTATATTTTGTATATAATTATAGTAGTGATGCAACTGCATTTATTTTTAAATTTTAGAAACCAGTATTAATATGCCGTAAAGGTGAATTCCATGAGTTTCTAGAAGAAAATGTTCCTCTGCTAAAAGAGCATTACTGGCCAACACCATGGTGTGTGGAATCTCGCCTCCAGACAGTTGTAGGCTCAATAATACGTACACGGATATTATCACCTGTACAGTACAGAAGGTGAGTTGAATATCTGTCTTAAAACAAAAGTTGCATCAGTAATATCCTTCATTTAAAAGTGTTCAACAATTTGTCATGCTCAAGTGTCTTTTTCCTTGTATTTAAGTATGAGACACAACACTTATTGTGTTGAAATATAAGGAAATTAATTAAAGGAAGTGATCAAAAATAATACATGATACAATATTTTGTATAACAATACTATGATACTATTTGAATAAGTTTGTATAGCCCTAGCTAAATGGGCTAAGCTAATCAAGAAATGTGTCAAATATATTTTGTTAATTACTTTAGAACACACATTTTCGTTAAGAAAATGACTAAAATGCAGTAAATTCAAAATACTCAAATGTAGTGCGATTTGTCAGAGTTGATGTGACGACAATGTCTATAGGAATGTCATTTGATTGTTTTAAATATACTTATATTTTCCAAAAATATCAGTTGACCCTTTTAGAAGTATTGAATAATAAATCAATTACCCAAAATCCATTTTGATTAAATATGTCATATCTCTAGTAATAGACATTGACATCATGACAAGTGCACCAAAAATTTGGGCAGTTATATAATTTCATCATTTGTTTTATAAAATATATAGTATTTTTTTTAAATATGTATATTTACTATAAATAGTGTATAAAATTTTGAATATTATTGCAGAGAAGTGTTGACTCTGTCTGATGGTGGCCAAGTCGCTTTAGACTGGGCATTGGCAGCAGAAGAGGCAGCGGGGGTGACAGAGGGGGGCGATGGAACAGGAGTGCTTTTGGTGTTGCCAGGCATCACGGGCGATGCGCGCGCCGACTACGTGCGCTGTTTGGTAGCGGCCGCGGTGCAACTGCGGCTGCGATGCGTTGTTGTCAATTATAGGGGCCTTGGTGGACTTCCACTTACGGTAAATATTTTTGAAAAGTTATCAATAACCCTAAACACCAGTACGCACTGAATTGTCAGACTTTCACTCTCATTAATTTGCAAGGTGTAAAGAAAATACATTTATTGGCGGAATTGTGCGAAACGCGCATATAAGCCATCAATTAAAGAAGAAGAAAACTCATTTAGTTCGCCCTCTTTCTCACAGATTGATCTGCTATCAGTCTAAAGCGTAAATACTTGTCATAGTAAATATATCACTTGATTATGACTTGTCTGGTATAGATACATGTACAAAGTTTCAATAGGGACGTAAACAGTAAACGTGTAGACACTTTTATACATATAATATTTATAATATTCTTATAACTAATTATAAAAAGAATATAATATATTTTATGCTCGTTGTCACGTGTCCACAAACAGCTTGTGAGTTCTCGCCCTTCTTACTCATATCAGGACTTAGGGGCCGTCCATTAATCATGTGATGTTTTTTTCAACATTAATTAACCCTCCTCCTTACCTTCCCTTTGGTGATACATAGTGAGGGTTAAGACTACTCTCTCAGTTTCTCCACCCAAATCACGTGTATTTTTAGGACCTTGTGATATTTTGTGATTAATGGGACGACTCCTTAGAGTATTCAAATAATAATAAATGACTACTAGATATCTAATACTAGAATATAATACTAGATAGAAATGAAATGAAAACACCACTTCTGTCATGACGTCAGCGACGTCATGACAGAAGTGGTGTTTTCGCAGGAAATTTTGAAAATTAAATTAGTTATTTTGAATGATATTTTTTTAAATATGTATATTCTGTAAAATAAAAATATAAAAAAGGTTGTCTTCACTCCTATTATGTATTTTATATTGACCAGCTCTCTGCCAGCAGCTTCACCCGCTAGATCCTGTATTATACATATAAACCTTCCTCTTAATTCACTTTATATTGATGAAAACATTAAAATATTTTGTGTAGTGCTTTAAAAGATCTTAGGATTCAGACAGTGGGAAGTGATTTTATATTATACTATGTATAGATTTGTTGTTAAATCTGAACAATCCTCAAAGATATCATTTAAGAAATTATTCAATGTGAACTAGCTCACCACGAGATGATCAGATTGATCATCATAATCTGCACGGTTTACTCCTGAAAGCAATCTTAATTTCAATTTCAATCTAATCCAATAACAATCTCAATTTTCATCAAATCTCAGCTCATACTCTTGAAACATAGAGTCAATACCTAATTAATGTCAATTAGTTCATTTAAATAATTATGGTGGTTACACAATATTTAGCCAATTGGCGCTAGTATACTAGCTCAAGAGTACGAAACATCAGAATTGTAATGTCGATCGATGGTGAATACGTTCAAGAGTAAGCATCATAGTTGCAGATTGATGACAAGAATCAAATTATGTGGATATTATGTGATCCATTTCAATATGGCATTATTCGACTCATTACACAATCATTCTGTTATCGATCTTATGAAGATAACGGATTGATCTGACGCCAGATGTATCGTCTGAAGGTCCAATGAGGAAGTATTAAAACTAGATGTCGCTACAGTACTTTCTTGATTTCTCCATGACAACCCTTCCGGTTTTGTTTCATGTATAAAAGTAAATTAGTTTCAAAAACTCAATAAACAACTCTTTGTATTGATATCTAAGTTTCGAACTTTGCAAATTTCAGTTTTTTAATATGTTAGTTAAAAGGAACGGAAATTACTGTCTTTGGTCCATTCGTTTTCTCCAAAAATCAACTTTTGCTAGAGTCGCCATCTACTGGAGGTGCTTTCTTTTTATTTTTAAATACTTCCTCATTACGTATTTTATATCATCTATCTCATTAATGTTAGTGATGCGACTTAAGTAAGATTTTGTGACTCGAGTCACTGGAGCCATTTAACAACCGCAATCGAGTCATTTGTGTAAAAAATTGCAAACGCACTACTCAAGTGAGATTTCTCTTAGCAATTTTAAACAAATACCTATATTGAATATAAATAAAATACACATTAAAATAGATTTAACATATTATTTATTTAAGTAATCAAGAAACTAAGAAAAAAAGACGCATAAATAAATTAGAGTAGCGAGTCTAGTGGCAAGTCGATGCGCCGAGTTGACTCGATAACTACAGTGCATAGAGGCTTGAGTGATATTTTTTTTACTAGAATACGAGTTTGAAAAATTCACTCTAGTGACCCGAGTAAAGAAATGGCTCGAGTCGCATCATTAATTTGTGTATGGTTTCCGTATAGACTCCACGGTTATACTGCGCAGTGAGTCACTCTGATCTAGCGGAGGCTGTGCGTGCTATAGAGAAACAGACGTCTGGGCCGCTAGTGGCGACAGGAGTGTCGTTGGGCGGGCTCATACTGACGCAATACTTAGCCGCATCCGCTGAAAAAACGAGATTACACGCCGCCTTGGTGGTTTCATCGCCGCTAGATGTCGTGCGAGGTTTTCTTTTTTATCTTTTATTTTACTTACAATGTACGTAGGGTGGCTCGGTAGCGTAGTTGCTAATAATCAATGTTAAGTAACACGGGGTCGGTCACGGGACGGGTGACCAAAAAATTATTATCTCTAGCTACTTCGAATGGCACTTTAAGCCGCTGTTCCCGGCTGCATTTGCAGTCGTTAATATCCTCCGATCCGCATTGACCCAGTGTGGAGGGTGATGATCCATCTTCCTTAACCATCCACAAGAAATGCCTGAGCCACTGCAATTGGCACGTAAAACTGTCGCAAGGCCTGGTACTATTATTATCTCTTGCTCATCCGTTCTTATGCAGTCGTTAACATGCACAAATACGCATTGGGCCCGCGTGGTGGGTTATGGCACTTTCTCCTTTTCGATTCTATCCATAGGTAAGGCCTGTTTTAAAAATTACCCCAACAGTGGGGAGTGTGATGTATGTTTATGTATGTTCGTCAAGTCTTGGAACTGAATTTTGAAACAGTTATCCTCAATAAATAAAACTGAAATTTTGCATGCAGGTTTAGATTAGATGCCGATGACTAGACGACAAAAGATAATTCTTTTTTATCTTCTGTGTGTACTTAGGTATCAAATAAGAGGATTTTTTAATAAAAATAATTTTATTTTAAATCAAATATTACCAAGATGGTGGACTAGTTTTGCAATTTCGTTCATTTAAAATTATCAGCGTTCATTAAAATCAAAGTCAGAATATTCTTTATTCAAATAAAATTATTAAAAGCACTTTTGAATCGTCCTAATTTAATTACTATCAATATAAACCCCAATAATACTCACGTTTCGTTTAGGTTCGGAATGCATCGAACGGTGGCCGTTAAACGCACTACTATCTTACCACATAGCACGTAATCTCCGACGCGCTGTCGGCGCTATGAGAGCTTTAGGGGCAGCGCTAGATTGGACAGCGCTCGAGCAGTGTCGGTCTGTTCGCCAATTCGATTCGATATTCACCGCTCCCCACTTCGGTTTCCCGAGTGTAGACGACTATTACCGAGAGGCGACTTTACGCGGGAAACTGACGCGTGTACGCGTGCCGCTGTTATGCTTATGCGCAGCCGATGACCCCTTCCAGCCGCTAGAGGGTAAGTGTTGAAATTTTTTTTTTGGGTTCCCTACCCAAAGGGTAAAATGTAATATTGCTAACACTTCGCTGTCTGTCTATGAACTGTGTAAAGTTAGACAGATGAAATTTTTCACAGATGATGTATATTGTTAATTGGTTCATTCTGTTGCCGCTTCAACAACAAATACTAAAAACAAGAATAAAATAAATATTTATGGGGGGCACCCATAGAATAAACGTGATTGGTTTGTTCGTTTCCCTTCGTGAGTCCGACTCCTACTTGGCCGGTTTTTTAATATACATTCGCTTTTCCTTTCTGACCTTTAAGTATTTTACACATTCGAACAAACGAAAATTGTTTTTTTTTGTATAATAAATAAATAAATTTAGTGTATGTCAGTGGTTAATAACGTTTTTTAGTTGTGGTTCAATATTAACCAGTAATGTTAAAGAAATGTTTGAGTAAGATATATTTTCTTATAATTATTGTCCTTTTTTTAGGGGCTATTTATAGCTATTTGCATCTATTCTACTGGAATAATCTCGATAAAGAAATAATGTTATTCTCAAAATGTTTATTTCATGTTTTATAACTTATTTTTTATGGTCAAATTCATTAATAAATTACTCGATAATATTCGGGTCATAGGTTGCCGACCCCACTATCTGATGTTACATTGACCAAATATAATGTAGTTAGTTTAATCTAACTGAGAGTGCTCATAAAGATTATTTTGAAATAATACTTTTTAACACATATTTATTTCATAACTCTTCAAGTTTACTAACCGCCTGTTACCGGTTAATTAAGTTATAAATCAATGCACGATTCTATTGGTTGTGTTTTGCCAAAAATGAACGCTACAAAGGCATAGAAAATTTTGATAGGTATTTCAAAGTTTTCTTATTTCATATGTCAGCATTTTTTATATTATAAATAAACATACTGGCTAGAATTGAAATTTATGAAATATCATGCAAAGCCCAGTTGACTTGCTTTGTAGAAATAAATCTATATCTAATCTGATTAATGACGACTATGCCTTTAACCGTCAATTTCTATTAGTGTCGTATATATAAATTAGGGTCCGTGCATATCTAACGCACGATACTATCGCACGGTCCGTCGTATATTAACGCACTTCCGTGATACGCTTGACGGACCGTCCGTCAGATGTTCACCGACCCTTAAATTATGAGTGTATAATGCTCAATGGCAATTTAAATTGTATAGTGATACCTACGGCGGAAGCGGCAGAAAGTGAACGAGTTGCTTTAGCGGTGACAGCGCGCGGGGGCCATATTGGTTTCCTAGAAGGATGGTGGCCGGCTGCCCCCCCTCATCAACATTACGTATCACGACTGGCCGTACAATACTTCGGTGCTTTACTCAAACGCCCTCGCCTACTAAAGATATCCAATAATAACTAATACGATTGATTGAACTTACGAAGGGATGCGATATTTAATGTAATCAAAACAAATTACAAAGTTGCAGATTTAGGCTGAGTGTCCTGCGAATAAAGTAGAGTTACCAACCTTCCTGTATTTTTCAGGACATTTATTGGGTTTTTAAGTAGCATCCTGGGTTTTTAAGGCGCCTAGATAAGCTCATGTATGAAAGTAAGAACTGGATCTCTAGTTTAAATGTACGCGGTTTGAGCAAAAACCTAAAATAATAACGCATAAGTTGCGGCTCGCATTTTCATTCCGCTAATGAAACGTGCACTTTATAAAAGGCTGTTTTACATTATTGTATTTTCAGTTCTATGTTTATTTGTGGTACGGTCTGAGCCTTAAGTATTGCGGTTTATGATTCAATTTCCAAACTTGCAATTTTTCAGTTTATGATTAAAAGTTAAGTTTGTCGTTGGAGACGTTTCGATCGCCATTATGAGCTCTGGATTAAAAAATATCTGAGTTTTTTAATAAGTTTCCCAAGTAGGTAAAGAACAATGAAAATTATCTGGGGGTGAATCTTGAGTTAATGCTACTTATGGGCATCAAGGAATCTAATCTAGACATATCTGATTACTCAAATAATTATCATTTAGTATAAAAACTGTCTATAGTGATTTACAGTCAACAGCACCTCAGATTGTACAAAAATGTGAAATATTCTCAATTTTACAACTTTAATACATTAATAGGTAGATGACAAAATCCATGTTCGGAGATTTGTTATTTCAGTATTCCATTCATGGTAAAACTGACGCAGGTATTAAAGTACTGTACCTATACAAGGACAAATGATATTTAGTAGAACAGTTTTCTGTTTTTTTTTTCAAGATATAAATTATTTATGCGTGTTTTTTACGTTGTTATGTAAATTATTGACGTAAGAAAAGAGACTAAATTAGGTGTATGTATTATAGCAATGCGAGTCTTGCCTCTAACCATTAAGTTTTCATATCGGAAAGTTAATTTAATTCTAGTGAAATTACTTAGCTTTTGACATATTTTAAAGTAGCTGTTTTCCTGCGACTTCGCCTGCGTAAATTATGTGCGCGTACGACGTAACTTCCCGTAGGTGGAAGTATTCACACGTTCATATTTCCGAAGATTATCCACTGCTAACAAACAAAGTTGGAAACTTTACCTCTTGTATAGATTAGTTTGATTCCCTTAATAATTTTCGGTTACACATTGACGTCTCCAAACGATATACTAAATTATATTCTTATTTTTCGACATCATATATTTATGGCTCTCTTTAAAACTTATTCATTATGCGGTGACTAATTTTAAGTATTTCTGGTATTGACATATACTTTGACGATAAAGATAAGCTTTTACTAAGTATTATATCTTAAAATCGATACAAGGTGGCCACGTGGTGCCAAGATGATGCGATTATAAAGAGTAATAAAGAGTTTTCAACTTATCCCGACGTACGTTCAAATAATCGATTATATACGATTTAAAAGTAAAAATAGTTTACCAAAATCGTTCTTGTTATATACAGTTTATGGTTGAATTTAATATTTCTGGTTGGTTACGTTAAACTCACTTTTATAGAGTTTGATGGATTTGGTGATCGTTCAAATCGCCGAAATATCAGTCGAATGGTGTATTTATATATACAAACGGTAATGTTTTTTATTATAATTATATATATTATATATGCTTATAAGCTTCTCGATTCTGTTGCACATTTAAATTTTTAAGTACAAACTTGTCTGTTTATCATTATTATTATGAATGGAATGTAAGGTAACACACCCGATATTGTAATCTTAGTAAGAAAATACTATGAATGATCTAAGAAGCATATACATCGCAATATGTGCGTTTTTCAAATTCAAAAGATAGCAAATTCAATGTCAAGTTTATCGTTGTATTTCTGGATGGACTTGTATCTGTCACGTACATGTATACAAAAATTAAATGCTCGCTAACTGTGGCAATTAAATATGGGAACATTATTGATCACACTTAAATATTATGCGAAAAATAAGTCACGAATTTGCTGAAAAACTAAAATTTACATCGTAATAAATAAAGAGATTCTAATTTTGAGTTATAAATTCGCACGAGTATCTTATTATCATAAATTTAAAAAACGTGATATTTTTTCTCTATGTATCACTCGATTTGAAACACGCCCCGCCATTGTGTGACGTCACTGGCGACAACTCTCACAGCCAGTTGCACAAACGTCCATTAAAATGTTCATTATTTTAAAGCGACATTACCCATACAATTTTGATATTCGTTAGAGCTTAAAGGCGTTATTAAACCTGGATTATTAATGGACGTTTGTGCAACTGACCGTCAGATTAGTCAAAAAGATTGCTGAATAATTATAAATCAAATACCTAGATGGCGCTGTTCTTAGCTTATTTATATCTTTTTATTTCGAAATCGGTGATAAGATGGCACTGTTCTTGTTTTATTGACATCTTTTAATCGTCTATTTTATGCATCTGTTTTGTGTACACACCACAAAGACGTCTTGAATATGACGGACAGCGTTTTCGTGCATATAAAAGAAGTTTAAATTTTGATTTAATTTTAACACAAGAAAACATCTTTGTTTTTTCGAAATATTTGTTATAAGGCTTTTTTAAATGAAAATAAATAATGAGGAAGTATTTAAAAAAAAAAAATGATGCACTAAAAAGCATTTCACTAGATGCGCGACTCTACCAAAAGTAGATTTTTGCATGAAACGAATGGACCAAAGATGAGTCATTTGCGTTTCTTTTAACTAACATACATATTAAAAAACTGAAACTTAGATAACAATACAAATACGAATAAGTACAAATAGAATATGAGTTGTTTATTAAGTTTTGAAAATTAATTTAGTTTTATTCATGAAAGAAAACCTGAACGGTTGTCATAGATAGTGAAAGTACCGTAGCGACATCAATTTTGATTTCGGTAACTATTTTTTTTTTTTACTTTATACTTCTTCATTCCAAGTATTATTTCAAACAGAGTAGAATATCCTACTCTGGTAATGTTTACATGGTAATAAATAATATTGAAGTTCAGGTAGGTACAGTAGTGGACTAACCTCGTTGAAGGCCCGAGGCGGGATCAAGCTCGGACCTTCAACTTTTTCCAACCCGAGCAGACACTTGATATTGCGTTTACCCCCCCCCCCCCTGCTAAGACGCCTGCTTAAACTACGAAACTAGACATAAGGAAGATATACAGTACAAGTCCATTTGTAAAGTTCCCTTGTACTTACAGCCATTTTTTAAGCCCCCCAGGACAAGAGGCCCGGGGCGGACCACTGGGATCCACTGGTTAAGATTCTCTTGAGATGCGATTATTACATAAACAATACCAGAAGTAACCTGCTGGCTCTATATAGGCTCGGATCTCGGATCTGTAACGTGTATGCAAAAATACTTTTTGAAACAGTAAAAGGGCATTATATGATGATTATTTGGGCGCCCGGGACAAGTGCCCCTAGATCCGGTCCTGTTATAAAAATACACAATACACAGCTGGTTTATCTAAAAGCAAAGCTTCTGAACTTCAAAATACAGCGCTCTCACTATTGCAATAATAACACTGCTCAAGAGCTGAGATTTATTAACATTTAGTATTGTGTAATTCTTATTGTTGTAGGTAGAGCTCTTTACAACTGATGCATTTATTATTCACTAAAACTATAAACTTGTCGACGTGAATTAATTATAGATAATGTGCAACAGTATCGTTGGCTAATAAAAATTGTGATAAGATAAGAAAACTATTCGCCATGCGATAATATGGCAAGTGGGGTCCTATTCTATGCAACTCGACGATGTTTCGATTATTTTTTAATTATGATTTTCAGATTATGTCAACTGAATAACGCTCCAGTTACAATACATGCGCTTTTCGGATATTCTTAATAATAAATGATACGAAATTATTGAGAATAGGTACAAATTGTTGTCATAGATTTAAAGTATGGAGCTAAATCTAAGTGTGAACATTTCGAACGGTGCTATATTGATTATATATGTATATAAGGCTGAAACACGAAGAAGATAAATATTGTTGACAAATTAACAAAATTATTTTATATTCAATGTTGTTGTGAGTTTATCCGACTAGCGAATTGGTTATACCAAAGATATTGATTAAACAAAGTATATGTGTTATTAAGAAGTCTGTTACATGCATAATAGATTCTGTGCTATTTTTTTTTTAAAGAAAGCGTTCATCTTTTGATTTGATAGAGCTGCTCTACGCGAACAAAGTCTCACTATGGGTCATATCATTTAATACTTACTTGTACGGTTTACAAAGAAGCGGTCTATCAGTTCTTAAAAGTTTCTATGAAATTTACACTATCGCTAAGGTTGACTTCTAACAGAGTTTAGACCCACTATTATAACGTATTGTGTGTTATCTGAAATGCATGAGATTTGAATTAATGATTACTGTCATATTATTTCAAGGAAAAAGTAACCTTGTTTCATGACATTGAAATTAACCTCAAACAACAACGTTGAAATGACCATATTTTTGCCGACGGTACCCTTACTACACTATCGTATTTTATTGACTTCGAACAACTTCGAGAGTAGATTATTGATCGTTTATAGGGTTCGATCAAGAAAACTAGATTAATAGTTCGAAGCTAGTATGCATGTAATAGAAATCTTAAATAAATTCATATATAAACACAACGCCTTCAAATTTTGTGATATGCATGGAATTAGTTTGTTTATATTTAAGAAATACTGCTGGTTTTTTAGGAATTAACGATTGGTATTGTTTATTTTTTTAGTGAACGCATTCCAAAATAACAAAACGCATTATATCTATTACGCGTTTTTGTATAATGTCACAATAGCAATTGTTTCAATGCCCTGTAGGGGCCGTCCATAAATTACGTCACACAAAATTCATGATTTTAACCCCCCCCCCCCCCTCCTGTCACCTGTTTGTCTACTAAATATTGTTCTAATGTCTCAGTTCGT